GGGGAGGGCTCGGCCGGGCCGAAAGCCCCTGCTCCAGCCCCCCGGGGAGGGGAGGGCGCAGCCTGCTGCCCCCCGGCCCCGCAGGTCGAGGTAAGAACAGTTCAATAATTGAAATAAAATAAACTAAAAAGAGTAGCAGTAGTAACAATACTGATACTGATAATAATACACAAAGCAAGTAATGCACGATGCAGTTGCTCACCACCTGCTCACTGATGCCCAGCCCGGCCCCGAGCAGCGATCGCTGCCCCCCTGGCCAAGTCCCCCCAGTTTCTATACTGAGCATGATGTCCTATGGTCTGGCATAGCCCCGTGGCCAGTTGGGGTCAGCTGTCCCGGCTGTGCCCCCTCCCAGCTTCTTGTGCCCCTGGCAGAGCAGGGGAAGCAGAACAGCCCTTGACTTAGTGTAAGCACTGCTCAGCAACACCTAAACCATCCGGGTGTTATCAACACGGTTCTTATACTAAATCCAAAACACAGCCCTATGCCAGCTACTAGGAAGAAAGTTAACTCTATCCCAGCCAGAAGCAGCACAGAGGCAGGAGAGGCCGTGAGGTACCGCAGCAGCTGGGGAGGTGGCAGAGGAGGGCAGGGCAGGCCCCCGCGCGCTGCCCCTCTCCTCGCCGCTCACCCAGCAGGATGCATACAGGGAAGCAGGAGACCGAGCAGCAGGTTACCTGCCTGGAAGGCACCGCTGCTGCTCGCTGCCATGCCCTCCTACTGCCTCACAGTCAGCAACAGGGAGAAAAAAAAAACACATGGGTGCATGCTCCCATGTTTTAAAATACACCCGTTCCAAGACGCCTGGGCATACACAGGCAGCATGCTCTTCCATACCCCAGCACAACTAAAGCCCACTTTATGTGCGTCGAGAGAAGTGAATAACAGAAGTGGCAGAGGTGCCAGAAAAAGAACCCCAAGGCCGCAGTGTCCTGAGTGTTCTGCTGCTCGTTCACTATTAATATAACATGGCCTGGAAGCGCGATAACCGTGCGCCAAATCCTGCTCCCGGGCATCGGCACTAACCGTGGCTGCAAAGCAACCGCACAGTGCACAAGCAAGGGGGAGAGATCAGAGGATGCCCAAAACTGCGACACACAAATAACACGGAGACATGACAGTTTTGTTGAATATTTTAATATCTGCATTGCCTTCATAGCGCAATTAAAGCGATCTTTAAAATTCACTTATTACAAATGTTTGTCAAGTCTATTTTTCCCCAGAAACATTTTTCTTGCTTCCCTGCACATACACCCAAACACACTATAAAAACCTCATTCATAACATCAAAGGAAGGGCAATCATCATTCATGTAAACATCTTTCTTAGAGTTATCCATTTTTTAAAAGTCATGAATAAACCTACAGATGTTCGGTAAGGCTCATAGTTCGAGTACAAATGTCATAAAACACCTATCAAGTACTGTATACAAGTTAAATACTCCGGGGTTAACTGTTAGCACATGTAGAAGCTTACCCCAAGGATTATTCTTTAGCACTTAGTTCTTCAGAACAGAGACACCCAGTAATTATGGGCTGAAGAGTATTAAAATAGCAGAAGGCCCAGCAGAAACTGTTAAGTAATACACAATTTTAGTCTGGATCTTAGCTCAAGAGTTAAATTCAGTACAGTTACAGTAGGAAAAGTTGTCTAGGAGGAAATCTGCAGAAAGGAGGGATGGGTCCGTTTGTACAGTATCACGGAGGGACAAGCTGAGAGGTATGTCCTGAAGATGTGACTGGCCTTGCTATTGCAATTATTTATGACAGCTGTGTGTAATGCTGCATAAATACTTTTCCAAATAGCAGAAATGACCATTTGTAATTGTAAAGATCATTTGTTGCATCTCCCCTTTAAAAGAAAAAAAAAAAAATCTACTTATTGGTAATCAATTACACTTGCATCTTACAAAAAGACATCCTTTTAAATTTGGTTTAGATCTTACCGGAACTTTTTTTTTTTTAAATATTCATTCTACCATGAAAATATTTCATACAAACATCATTTTACATACAAATATGTTAAAACTTGTGAAGAGGGTCTTCCCACACTCATGATCTTATGGCTTGAACATTTAATTGCTTAGAACTTTTGTATATATATTTCTCCTGGAAAAAAAAAAAAAAAAAGTAGTTACAGTAAAACTGGTAGAGAAAGAGGGCAGGAGCTTCAATTGCCTGAAGACAGAGGAGGGTCCATTCAACAGATAGTGACCTTAGTGTTCAAAACCTTTGATCTGGGGCAAGTAAACATGCTCTCAATTTTGCTCCTTTTTTTTTTTTTTTTTAAAAAAAAATATCCCTTATAAGACTGCTTAGAAATGCTTTGTCCAAAAATACTAGTTCTCACGTTTCCAGTGCACAAAGCAAAAGGAGCGAGTTCTCCCCAGGGTGCAGGTGAGCAAAGCCCACTTACGCCCACAGGTACAGCTGCTCCCCGGCGTGCCTTCCTCGCCCAAACGCGCTCGGCATACGCCAGTGCGGTGTCAGTGAGGAAGAAGCGTCTAACACAGCACCCCAGCATGTAAGGAGACACTTCAGCAACATCGTTTTCAAAGCAATTGGATTTTGTTTTTTTTTTTAAGTGCTTGGAGGTGAATTCCTCAGGCACCCACAGCTCCAGCAATTCTGCTGTGCCAGAGGAAAACAAAGCAGCAGATAACCGGCTCTGTGCAACTCGTTACCTCATCGCAACGGCAGCGTTTTCCAAAAAGACTATGAAATCGAGTGGAAGGATAGAAGTCAGAGGTCTCTGGGACAGAAGGGACACCATACAGTCCCTGGCACAACCAAAGCGGTGAGCACCGCTTCCGACCGAAGGACAAGGGCAACCAACTGGGAAGGAAACCGAGAAGTGGCAATTTCCACCACTTCTCCGTTTCTCATACCAGATGGGATGTGTTGGCCACTCTGCTCCTCCTGTGCCTGACAGAGGGTGAGAAATCCCTGATGGTGCTCTTGCTTCCACGCCAGCAGCACACTACAACAGCCCCGGGAAAGAAACCGCAGCCACTGCCATCTGTCTGCAACAGCGAAAGCTCCGCATCCAAAAAGGCCCAACTAAGGAGAAGGCTACCTAGTCGCTCCCGAAACACGTGGCCTCGCAAGGCCGAGCAGCCGGCCTCTCAAAGGTCTCGAAACCCGCAGGAGCCGCCCAAGAACTGCATCTGGGAAAAGTCACGGGCCATCCTAGCGGGTAGTGTTGCAACTGTGGAAAAAGTCAAAAAACTATCACAGCTCTCACTCATCACTGAAAAGCCATACCCATGTATTTCCTTTGACTTTTTCAACAGTTAAGGCTTGTATGTATTTACGTAGGTTAAATTTTTTTTTTTTTTTTAATTACTACCTAAAAAAGGCCCAAGCCCTTTTCCCTCTCATCTGGAGGAGTGACCCAGCAGCAGGCAGCTCTCGGCTTAACTTCTCATGCTCTCCTGTCACCAAGATTAACCGCTTCTTCAGAAAACAGAGCTTGTGTATTCTTGCTGACAAAACACAGCGCTGCCATAGCAGGAAGATACATTAAAGATTTTTTTTTTTTTTAAGACAGACAATCAGCAGCCTCTAATACAGGATGATAGAGGCTCTTCTTCATAAAGGAGCCCTGGTAACAACCCCCCCGCCACGTGCAGCGCTGCAGACTAACGGCAGATGTCGGGAACTGATCCGTACCTGAAAAATGCAGCTATTCCAGGTTGTCTTAGGCCATTCTTTAGTCACAAGGGGTGCTCCGAGAGCCAGCTGCTCACCCAGGCTCAGCTGACAGGCATCAGCTCCTCTTCCAGTTTCTGTGCCAGCTGGACAGGTCTTCAGCCAGACTCTGAGAAGTGGAGCTGCTTTACTTATTGCATATTCACCAATAGTCAGCTGCATTCAACAGGCTCAAATGGATTGCTTTGCAAAATGACTGCTTCCTCTGCTCCAAATTAAAACCGTGTTATGGTGTGGGTCTCGTGTTACTACTGAAAAATAGTTTTGCTAAGCTGGTCTTGCTATCTAGTGAGCCCCAGAAGCTGAGCTGCAATACGTTGACCGAGTTAAGGCATTATTTGGAGTTCTGTAACTAAGCTGTGTTTGAACCTGTGGTTGCCAACGCACACCTCTCAAAAACCTCTGAAGGACACACTGAGCCCTGAAGCCCTTTTGCTACCCGGTGGTAGAAACCATCCCAACCATCTCCACCCTAACAGACCACAAAGAAAAAGAAAACAAAGAAGAATTAAAAGGCTTGGTCCTGAATCAAGCCAAAGCAGCTTTACAATCACAACTTTTATAGAAGGTTGGTCACTGAAGAAGGGATCTATAGGAGGACCAATAGATTTTAACAGAGCAGAGAGAAAAAGGACGGTAGAGCTGACAGAGACAACAGCCACAACTGTGGCATACTACCAGGCTACAAGCATATGCCGCAGCAAGAGAATCTGCTTGACTGTCACTGAATTAACAGCTTTTGAGAACGCACAGAGGATACCTCAGTGCCTTTTTCTTCTTCCTAGAATTTCCCTATTTTAGGAAGCAACCTTCAAACCCGATGCACAAGGAGCACCTATCTTGTATTTATCTCAAAAATCAGGCAACGTGAAGACTGACTAGTCTATTAAAACATAAGCAACTCCACACGAAGAGGAGATAGCAGAGGAGTCAGAGACTGATCAGGAATGATGCCAGAGGAGCTCTAGGGGTCAGAACATTTTAAGCATGATTCTCTAGTGGGCACAAAGAGGCCAGCAGTCCAAAGCAGGTTATCAAGACTGTGGAAGGAGTTACCATCCATTCGCAGCAGGGTTCATCACGTATCTTCCCTCTCCTCTTCCCTGCACTTAACCACAAGCCTCAACTTTGCAAACTTCACCGTCCTGGCAGAATAATCCATAAGATGCACGCAACAGCTTCCTTCCAGAGAGGCATGCTTTTCTGCAAACGGCTGAAACAGCAATGATCTAAAACAATGACCTGTGGGCAGGCAAGGGAAGATCAAGACATGCATATTTCTTTTTGAGGTTAATTTGCTGAAGCCACGCTGCCAATCAGCCTTTGACGACTCTCCCTCACCTGTGAGGCTCAGTTCTGTCTCTGCACACTCAGCCGAGTCCCTGAGCCATGGACAAGAAGTGAAGCTGTGGCCCGAGTCTAAAGCGCAAGGAGATGGGTGGTATCAAAGCTCACATTCCGATCACTGCTGGAAGAGCATCAAAAAGCCCTGAGCCTACTTCCCCCCCGCCCCAGCACATGCACAGAGTAGCTTTTGTGCAAGCTTAAATGGTGATGTGCTAGAAAAGGTTTGCGATCTGTCACAGGGACTAAAGAGAGCCCCAGGTTAGGTTAGGAATTAATGATTCCTAACTTTGTACAGGTACCAAAGCAAGGATTCTCAGACTGCACAAAACAGCAACCTCATCCTTCCACTTGCAGGTACCAACCCAACACATTCTCCATGCCTAGCTCCCCAGCCAGCCAGACACCTCCAACCGTTCAAGCAACCAACTGAAATGTGTTGCAATAGAAAGGTAGGTCTGATTTCCAAATCATTTATGTTACATATATACAAGCTTTTTTTTTAAAACTACAAACATCTAAAGAAAGTGTTGCAAATGCATTTGAGTTTTTCCTAAGCTGCTAAACCCAAAAAGAGAGCATCGGAGTCCCAGAAGGGCTCCAGTATCCAGACCGAGATGATACGTTATTTCTCTCTTATACAGCATTAGGCAAGACCAGTACAGTATCTGAAAAAAATGCACGACCGCTTCCCTACCCCTGAAAAACCCCAGAACACAGCCCTGCAGGTGAATAGTCACAAGCCCCCACTGTTGGCTGCAACAAAGCTATGGATTGACGGCTGTTTCTAAATATGAGCAGTGAGCGATGTTTTTACATTCATTGTTTGTCTTTCAAAAACAATCTTTTCACATCTTTTTTTTTTTTTTTAAATCTTATTTTGATATCTCATACTATATTAATTTACTGTGTCTTAAACCAGTACTACTAAAAGACGGCTATAAGGCTATATTCTTTGTCAACTGAACATGTACAAAAGATACAGCTCTCCTTCACCAAGTACTACAGCCTGCCCTCAAATACATACACCTCCTTCAAGAGAATTCACGTGAGGTGCAAGCATCTCTTTGCTAGAACTTTTGCCTTGAGAACTGGCCGCTTTAACAGGCGAAATACACAAACCAACTCACGGACACTAAATGCAAGTAAGGTGCTTGCCTTCCAGAACACGTACTTCTGAAAGTCCTTCCAAAAGCGAATCTGTTTTCTCCTTTCAGAAAATCTTCATGCAAAGGACAGCTTCATTTGCGTGTCATAACCATAAATTAAATAATATAAGCCAGCCATAAAGGCTAGATAAATATTAGGTTTGGACATGTTGCTATACTATTTAGAGAGCCACAGAGACCAACACACAGCACTCTCACGTACACACACAAGCCTTTCCACTAGTTAGAAAGGATTTTCTCCTGCAAAAGAGGATTTGTAGAAAGAACAACGTTCAGACAAGAGGAAAGGGGAGTTAAAACCCAGCCTCCTATATGCTAATAAATAAACTGCTCTATTGCAAGATTCAGATCAAAGGTTTAAAAAGGCAAAATTATGCTACTATTAGAGAATATCAAAATATTACTGTTATCATCACAAGTGGCATATATGCAAAATGCAGTTGCACAATAATGCCTAGGCAGATAGAGCGCAACACTAAGTCTGCCGACTAAAAGTGAACGATATACCCATTTTAGTTTTCTGTCTAGTCTTTTGGCATCTTTGCATATGGTGCAAAAGCAGAAGCTACCAAAGAATATCACGTCTCGTATAGAATATTAAATAATTTCTCCAGATAAGACTGGTGCAACGCTAGCTAATTTTAAACCTGCTATGAGTAACACAGTCAAACCTAGTTAGTATGCAAGAAACTTATCTCTTAACACAGAATGCAAAGTTATGATGCAACGGCATGAACAATCCCTGGTTGTCCAGTTTTCAGTATAAAGGTAGTGCATAGATCCAAGTTTCTATTTCAGTTTGCTGAATGGAGAAAGAGCTCCCGTTTCACTTTTGCTGGGCAGCCTGGAAAGCTTTCAGTTCCAGCTGGTACCACTCCGGTGCTTCTGGCCCGTTTTGCCCAACGGGGTTGTGGTCGTATCCGTAAGCCACCGTTAATTCTTCATCCTTCTCCACAGCCCTGATGGTACGGATACACTTGATGGGCCCAAAACGAGGATGAACAAACCTAGACAAAGAATAAACACCTTTGCTAGGCTTAGCTGTCATTTCACAGACTCTGTTAGCCCCTGGTATAGCTTCAGAAGTCACTCACAGCTCAGAGTAATATCACATAATCTGATATCAGATGAGTAGACTGCTTGAGTCAATCTTACGAAGACTTAAGGTAATAAGGGCAAAACCATCGATATAGTAAAACAGCTTTGTGTAGCTCTATTACTTGACATTTTTCAACAGTCCTGCAACACTGCTTGTTTGTAAAAAAATAAATAAAACAAAGGTAATCACTGCCACATGCCTTGGGCTTGCAGAGGTAAACATCTGCACGACAGGAAAACAGTGTAGAGTATGAGAGACTGGAGAGCATGGAAAATTGCTCATCTTAATTTCCTCGGTACAGGTTGCTGACCAAATATACATCTGTAGGCCTTCTCCCAGGGCCCCACAGTAAAGGGAATTGGCTTATTTAACCAAGGAAAACTATTTTCTACATCTCTCTCTCCACAGGTCTGTTTGGTTATACACTGATATGAAAGTATTTACACCCCTGAGCGTATGTACACATCAGAAGTTTCCTAGTGCTCCGCACCAACTGCGGAGCAGCAAGATGCTTATTTTTTGAGTTTCAGAAATGAGAGCACATTTGATGGTGCTGTAGTGCAGCAAATACGGTGCAGTCCTAGCCAAGCTAGGATTTAGAGCTGTGCTTATGCGTTTTAGAATCAAAAGGCAGCTCCTGAAGTTCATGACAAAATTAACACAGCTGCAAACTTCAGGATACTCCGATGGTGTTAAGTCCCAAGAGACATCAAGCACCCGCAATGCCTGCCAGTTTCCAACTTGGCCCAGGTGAGCCGGAACTCCTTCAGTGCCTGGACCCTTTTCTCCCAGCCCCACCAGCAGCTCCTCACTCAGCTGCCCAGAAACACCCTGTGAGCCCGGACCACTGGACTGCAGCTTCCCCTCCGAAACCCGGGACTCTACTTACGGGTCGTAGATGCAGTTCGGAGTGAAAGAATGGTTGGCCTTATGCCCCAGCGAGGCACAATACTTGGCGGCGTGGTTGTAGGGCTCTGGCACATCTATAACTGTTTCGTCATCCAGGGATATTGTATTTCCATTGAGGGCCCAGTCTCTGCTGTCTACCTAGTTTGCAAGGCAGAAATCCAGCGTGTGTGTGTGTGGAGGGGTCAACTTTGCCAGCAGTTTGAAAGCAAACATTCAATACATGCAACTAAAGCTTTTCCCGTAAGTCGTTAAAAAAACCCCAAACAATCACTACTTTTTCATATATATATACACACATAGGTGAACATGCACTTTCTTTCAATTAAATCTTAACAGTGGGAAGGGGGGTGCGTGTAAAATCCTACTATAAGGAGATTTCAGAAGGAGCAATGAAAATTCAGACTGACTTTTTTCTCTCCTTTACCTCCTGGTGTGTAATTCGCACTCCGTTGTAAAAGGACATAACTGTACTGGCTTCTGCTGCTATTTTCGAAAATAATCCTTCTCCAGCACTGGAAATGAGAGAGACATCAACATACACCCTACAAAGGGAAAAGGGCATGGAATTAGCGATTGGCTACAGTTTTCACTGACTTCTGCAATATAATAATAAAAATAATAATAATAATAATAATAATAATAATGTAAACCCTCCAAATGCAACTCCTTCTCCTTCCTCCCCTCCATACGTTCTCTCTATTTTGGCAAAATGGAGATTTGGTGGGAAGTGGGGGCTGGTTTATCTATTAGTTTTTGGGTTGTGTTTTTGTTTGTTTTTTGTTTTGTTTTGTTTTTAAAGTGCTAATCTACTATTACTCCTCAGGAATGGCTTCAACTCAGAACACCCTCCATAACATACCAGAATCCCAGTGGTCCCCACTAAGCTGAGGTTGCTGGTGTAAACATGCACAGATTATTACTCCACTGAGCAAGAGTTTTCAAGGTGAAGCCCTAGATCTTCAAGCACTTGATGCAAATTAATGCCAGCAATTTACTAATCAGGTATTTCAGAGTATCAGAAAAGAACTACAATCAAGATATCTAGAGAGCAAAGCCTCTTGAAAGTCTAGGTAAAAAGTGTAATTGTGGAATAGCCACAGAAGAGACCTCACCGACTGACTACAATAAGACAACTGCTGAGGAACGTGTTTTGACATTACAGGGTTGTCACAGACAGTATTTCACTTTCCTCCGCTTGATGATTTACTCCTGCCACTTTGCTACATCTGTAGGGAGAGGAGAAAACTTTGTACAACACACGCCATTCAGTGAGAGACACTGAATGCAGCCCACTGCAGCCTGAACCTAGTTACACATCTAGAAAATAGGGAACAGCATACTTTTTTGCTCAGAATATTGTAGATGTGGGCTGTTAGTGCAGTCTAGGACTTGACTGAACACGTCTTTGAAACGCTAAGAAATTATCCTAGTTTAATCTCTTAAAAAGCATTATTGTGTTCTGTCCACTAGAGTGTAATTTTGTTGTGCGGATCAGAAAGGAATTCAATCAAGTCAAACGCTGACTGATATGCAGTAACAGGTTCCATTTTGCAAACCCTTGCACACTTTAAAAATATTGAAATGAGAAAAGGTTTGCAAAATTCGGCCCTAAATACGTAACAGCAAAGAAATATGGACAATAATGAAAGAGGGCAGAAGAAAAAAAGCCTACCTCTCTGACTCATAAGGATCAGGAAGAAGTGCATTTGTAGAAATACAGGATGAAGTAGATTTGTCAAAACTGTACACTGGGCCTAAAAAAACCAGAAATCAACAAATGAAATAAACTAAATGGCAGTACTGAAAGCATGCAACCCTTAACTTAATCAAGACATTCAAAAATTAAATTTTAATGACTGCAAGAAATAAATGCTATGCTTCCAAAACAAGGTATTAAACAGAACTGCACCTGTAAAAGGTCTTCAGTGAGATACTGTTTCTTGATTATTTTTCCCCTCAGCATTATCACAAAATGGTGATATATATGTTCTTCAAATTACCAACTTTTAAAGGAAGATTGGACAGTCTTTCAAAACTGACTCTCCCAGAGTCTCTGATTAAAATTAAGAAGTAAAGCAAAATTTAAAAGGATATATTCAATAACACATCAATTATAAAAAAAAATAAAAATAATCATAGAATCATAGAATGTTTTGGGTTGAAGGAACCTCTAGAGGTCATCTAGTCCAACCCCCTTGCAGTGAGCGACTAGATTGGACTATTTCAAATACAGAAAGTTTTCTAGTCCAAATCCTAAAGAGACTTTGGCCAGAAGATAATGTTCAGTAATCACAAAGAAGTACACTTGCTACAGCCATTTATTTCCCTCCATTAACAACAAGCAGCTCAGCGGTACAGCTCTAATTTTATCCTTACATCCCTCTACAATCAACTGCCAGAGGACTACCTGGGAGATGGGTTATGATGCAGGTGGAAATAAGATGGGGGGGGTGGGGAAATGCCCCAAACCCACAACATTACAAAGTTTGACAAAGGGCCATTGTCCCTAGTGACCAAGACCTGTTCAGGCTGAAGGCAGCTTCCTCCAGAGCGTAATTCAATCCTATTTACAAAGCACAACTGTACCCTCTCAGAAGCTATCTTTTAAGTTTAATTTTGATTTGCTATCACAACTGAAAGATTTAACTCACTCACCTCCAAAACATCACATACACCTCAGAGCAACAAAGCTGCTCCAGAACTACAGTCCCAAGCCACCACTGCCCGGGAGAAGGAGCACTGGCTACACAAGTCAAAGGCACCACCCTGACCCTAACCATTTCAGAGCCACTTTCCACCAGCAGGACTGGACAGACTGAAGGATGCCAGCAAATCAGACTGTTATACAACAGCTGAACCTAGTTCACCAATTCCAATCCCTGTGTTTTCTCTCAGCCCTGTAACACAGATGCCAGAATACTCAGTGCTGACATTCACTTGCACAAAGCCAACCGACAGAGCTACAACCAAACCACAGCCTCCCTTCTCCACTTCTAGTTATTTTACTAACAAAACAAAGCCTGTAACTTTTGCCAGGATTAACACCATTAAGCAGGTTTTCCAGCTGGCAGAGGTGGCAATGGTGTGTGCAACAAGCGGGACTGCACCCATTCAGCAGCACCACTGCATGAGTCACTTCCAGTTCGTTCCCAGAGCAAGCTCAACGTGCCTTTCTGTCCAACTTTAAAATACAGAAAAAGGGCTTCTCACTAATAGATATTATCTCATCACAGCTAGCCTTTAGAGTCTCTAATGGGGAACACGCAACGAAGGGCTGGGAGCAAGAATAATAGTTTCTGTGTTAGCTGAACTTACTGCCTGGTACTACTTCAAACTGAGGTTTCCCATCCTCCAGAGATGTCAGAGTTGCCAGTTTTGCTTCTATCATTTCTCCATCTATGAACCTTCCGGAATATGCAGTCTTTCCATCAGGGTACACGTAGGCTATTTTCTCTCCAGTCATCTCCCCTTCTTCATTCACTTCTCCCACAAGGCTGCCCCCATCCTGAAAGCACAGGCAAGAAGAAATGGCAGAGCATTTAATTATACTTTACTATCTTCAGTAAACGAAAAAGATTTTTCCCAACTTTTTAAAGCTTTGTAAAGCTACAGCAAGTTCAGAACATGAAAATGAGTGAGAAACAGACACATGAAGAAGCTGGGTGAAGTCATTCCAGTCAGGATAAAACTGGTAAAAAAAAAAAGAACAGGGCTTTCTAAGTTGTTTGAAATAGGCAAAACCCCAAGGTCTTTCCTTTCATGCGACACAAATACAGAGTTTCAATTGGCAATTTTTTTTCTGTGAACAGCCTGCAAACGAAGGCCCAAAGCCACACATGGACAACTCCAAGGATGAAAGAGCTTCCAACATACAGCAGTAAGGAACAGTGAACCTCAAGTTTGGGTAAAAATTTGTGCACATAGCATCATGCAGAGAACCATGCATAAACAATTGCTTCCATAGCAAAGGGGTTTTTGAAACACCTTGCATCCTTTAGTCTGGCAAGATGGTAATGATAAACAATCTCTAAATATCCACATTTCCAGAAAGTACAGCAATTCCTTGTCAGTTGAAAGACAAAACAGGAGGCATACGACCTGAAGGGTCAGCTTTGTGTCTTTTATTTATTTAGTACTGAAAAACTGCTACTTGTTTGGCAGCGTACACCAAGCATTTGTTGATTCTAACACACATGCTTAATGGCAAAAGTGAAAAACAGTAAAAAAAATGAACAGCCAATGGTGAGCATTTGAAATGAATCTGCAACTCAAGTACGCGCAATACGTAGCACAGAAATAGATTGGGTTTTGACCAGTAGCTTAGTTACATGCAGATGTTTCCCTCTCCTCAGCACAAGGTGAAGATTGAAAAGTTCAAGTCTAGAGTGTTGTGTAAGGCTGAATAGGAATTAAAATTAAAAAAAAAAAAAAAAATTACATCTGATTTGTTGGGGGAAGCCAACAACATACCCTGCAGAAGTGTACAAAGGCTCCCCTCCTAGTTAAATAAGAGCAGCAGGTTGCAATAGCTTGCATGGTTCCCATGCTCCTCACCTGCAGTCAGCACTACAAGGTGACAAAACCACTGGCCCAGCCTTCCCAAGGGTATCTCCTTGGGAAGATAAATAAATAAATGCACATAAATGCACTTCCAAGGGGCTGGGTTCCCTGGAAGATGAAAATAGTGGAGGCATTGCTAAACCCTGTCTTACCGGGCAAACGTTCAACACTGAAAACGGTTGCCTGTATGTAGGATTATCCAAAATCAGAATGCACAGAAATTCCACCCTGATTTTTACCTGTTGACTTTTGGGTAGCTGGGTCATGGTGGATATTTGTTTCAGCTGTGTAAAGAGAGCAGGTGGCCAGACTTACCGGGTAATAAATCCAACAAACTCCATGTCGAATGTTGTCTTTATACTGCCCTTTGAATATCAGCCGCCCATCACTGTCATACTCCTGGGCTGGTCCGTTCAGCTCTCCATCCACATATGTGCCATGAAGGACCACTCCATCCTCGTAAGTGTAGATTCCTTGGCCTTGCAGGGCATCATCAACATAGTACCCTTCCAGGGTGCTGGTAAAGAGAGAAAGAAAACAGCAGTGGAAGACTATTCACCTCTCTCAGAGGTGAACCCAAAGCCTCGACATGAGGCACTACTGGTACAGAGAGGCTGAGGGGAAACCTTCAAGAAAGTCAGGTCCTAGGAGGAGGTACCTGTTCATGCTTGGTTTGCTGTTGCTGAGTACCCTCCCCGAAACGCGCACCACCACAGCAATGATCAGCTTTTCTTCATTTTCTCAGTGGCCTCTCCCCGAGAGCCCAGGCTGTTGCAGGGCAGAGCTGTGTGCAAGAGGGCTGAAAGCTAGGCCAAAAGGCTTGGCGGCGGTGGCTGCCGGGGACCTCTCTTGCTGGGACACAGCTTCCAGCATCTCTCCTCTGTCCCCTGCCAGGCATTGCTACCCCCCACGTCTGAAACCCTGATGCGTTTGCTAGTTTCAACCAAATTTGAGGGGGATGAGTGGAAGGGGAGTAGGAAGGTAAACCTGGCTTCTCTGGAAAGCCAAGATGAAAACCAACAACCTTCTTCTACGGACCCTCAGAGGCAGAGAACAACTTGCGCTGTCCTTTCACCAGGGTGTGCTGCATGGGCACAGCATTATTCATCCGAATTGCATTGCTGAGCTTTTTTAATAGGCTGGGGGTAGCAAATTACAGCAGCGAATGGATGCTCATGGTCAAAGAAGAAATTATTGCTCAAGGAGGCTACTCTCACATCAGGATTTTCTACCTCCTATGTTTGGATCTTTACTGACATCTCTCTGGCAAGATGGAATTGAACTGCCGTACAGGCAGACAGCAAAAGGGCACAAATGGCAACCTGCTACTGGTTCAGTGTTAGCTCCCTAGAGATACACTTAGCAGCAATCTGTACCGGATTTGCTAAAAGCACCGTCATTTTTCATGTACTCCTATTAAAACTGAACACAGCCTGTCAAACAGAACTAGGGCTTGCACTTGGATTTGAACAAAGAAATATTTCACTTCTGTTTTGTCTTGCAAACCCGTTAGAAGGGGAGCAATCGTACCTTGCAGTCTGCTTCCTTTCTTAAAAAAAAAAGACTACCAAGAGAAACTACAAAAATCGACAGCATAGCTGTACAAGAGGATCTACTCAGTTATTCCTTTCTCAGGTTAGAGCTAGCACAAAGAAATACAAACTGTTTAGCTTTTACCCCAGCCTTATTTAGCTAACGGCCAGCTGCAGTACACATACTTGCACTGCATAATTCTTCTGATGCAATCATCTAAGGTATCCAAACAGCATCTGGGAGCACATGACTCTACGTGTTCCACAAAACTTTACAAAACAGATTTTCAAGAGTTGTGGAAGGAATGTTTTCTCGGAATTAACCTTTTGGTTTCCAAAGCTTCACTTTCTGTTTTTACATAATTTTGGCAAGCTGGCTGAGCTTTCCATGGGAAAATACATTACAGTAAAAGCTTCAATGCAAACCAGATGCAGAGCAGGAAGGGGCAGGAAAGCTGCTTTACTTTTCAGTTGGATGAATTTCTTGATCCAGGTTGCTACAGAGCTGCACAGACAGCTACGGCACCACAGCACAGGGAAGGAGCAGAGCAGATGAGGGAACCACCAGAAATCTGTGCACTTACTCAACTATAAGTGACAACACTTTCCCCTCTGGTTTAACAGATCACCAGGTTTGAATTTCATTGCAGATGGCAACACACACAGTCCACATGTAGGATTACTCTTTAAAAGCAGCAGCCACTTGTATAATGAACCAGACCAAAAAACCTTCTTATTAGCTTTGATGACATCAGTTGAAGTTAACAAGCTGCTGAATTACAACAGTGCTTCATCACTGGAAAAAATATCTTTTTTACTGTAACTCAAATCTCCAAGTTTTCTTCCACTGTATTAAGCTGCAAAAGTGTCCAAAAATCCACCTCTTTCTACTCTCAAATAATCTTAAGGAAATCAAAAGCAAAATACCTAAAGAAAAAATTCCACGTCTTTCAACCTTGCCTAAAAAGTCAGGTTCCCTAAAACTTTTACACTTTTCACAGTTTTTGAGTTATTCCCACCCCGCTCCCCCCTCCTCTCTCTCTCTCTTCTTAAGCTCTCAAAGTATGGTCTCTGCAGCCAGACACGATACTTGCAACCAAGACCCAAGCAGCACGAGGAGGAATAAATAGCATCTGTGTCTTGCATAAACAAAATCTTGTTAATACAAACCCTGAGCTAGCCTGTATTTTTCCAGTTTGCTTCTCAGATTATCACGTTTGTGATAATGTAAAGTTTTACTGAAGACAAGACGTGCTGTCTTGCCATTATCCAACAGGCCTAGCTAGAGGGGATCTAGGACACCCACTACCTAAAAAATAAGAATAAATAGCATCTGTGTCTTGCATAAACAAAATCTTGTTAATACAAACCCTGAGCTAGCCTGTATTTTTCCAGTTTGCTTCTCAGATTATCACGTTTGTGATAATGTAAAGTTTTACTGAAGACAAGACGTGCTGTCTTGCCATTATCCAACAGGCCTAGCTAGAGGGGATCTAGGACACCCACTACCTAAAAAATAAACCAGTGCTAAGAGCTGGGGGGGGGGG